ATTCTATGCACTTTGTGGTGCTAGGGAAAACTCGAATCATATTTTCTTCTCTTGCGATCTGGCAAAGCTTATGCGGAGATGCATCCGGTCGTGGTTGGGTGTCAGCTTGTCCCCCTCAACCTTTGCGAAGCTTCGCCCGTTGGCGGCTCAGTTAGCTGGCACGAATAAACGTCTCTTCTTGTTTAGTTTTGCTGGATGTGCTGGACTCTTTGTACTACAAGAATAAATTTACCATTGATCGTATCTTCCCTAACAAACCAATTGATTGCTTATTTCAATTGTCTTCCTTTCTTCAGCAGTGGAAAATATTGACTAAGGCATTTGATCGCGGGGCGACAAAGCTGCTTATCTCAAGAGTTTGGAGCATGGCTTCTTCTCTGTACCAGCAAGATCAAGCTGCCCCCACTTAGCTTCATGTTTGTGGTCTGCGTTGACGGGAAGCGGCTCCTCTGCCATGGCACTATGTGCTGTTGGGCCACTGACATGCGGGCCAGGTTCTCAACGGGCCCACGTGTCAGTGGTGGAATGGCAGGGTGCCGTACATCAGATGATCCACATTCGCGTTGACGATGCGTCATTTTTTTTCTGGTGCTAGGTAGTTGGCCTGCGTGCCACGAGATTGTGCGTTTTGTTAAACTGCTTCTGCCATGCTGTTTAAGTTTGTTGCATGCTGTACTATGCCAGGTTGCTTTATATTTATAAAGTAAGACGCATATGCCTTTTCTTTTTAAAAAAGTAAATATTTGTTTGATTGGATTTTTAAAGTTAAGTTGCGGTCAAACTAAACAGAGCTTCAGTCGGCCCATTTTGCGGTTTCCCAGGCAAGATGGATGATCATGGAATTTTATGACGTGCTCATCAGGACTATGCACAACCCATAGCTTAATGCATGCAGAGAAGTCGAAAAGACCCTCGGGATACTGAATGAATTTATTTGGGAGATCATTGACATGGTCCACAGGGAACCGCTATGGCAGATATATAACGCCTGGCGATGGAGAATCATTGCCGCCCGCTACTGTTCTACTCCAGCCAAGTCGCAGGAATGGCTGCACTGCCGTTGAAAGGTCCGGCGACAGTCGTCGACGTGACCGTAGACGCCGATGCCCTGAACTGCGGCGTCTGCTGCCTCCCGCTCAAGTCGCCTATCTTCCAGGTAAGTGACACGTATCCGTCTCCTGTCGTAGCAAAAATTGTGTTATAACCATGTAAACATATAAGTAGATGCATCTCTGATGGTCTCATGTGGGACTGCAGTGTAAAGTCGGGCACGTGATATGCTCGCCGTGCAGAGACAATCTGGCGGCGGAGGGGAGGTGCCACGTGTGCCAAGATCCGATTTCCGGCGGCTACCAACGGAGCTATGACATGGAGAAACTGGTGGAGTCTATCCGGGTGCCTTGCTCCAACGCCGCCTACGGCTGCTCCGCCAGGCCGACCTACAGTCAACAGCACGAGCATGTCCGGTCGTGCCAACACCTGCCGTGCCACTGCCCGGCGGACACGTGCGGCTTCGTCGGATCCACGTCGGTGCTCCTGGACCACTTCGCCGTTGTGCACAGGTGGCCATGCACGACCGAGCTTCGGACCTGGAAGTGCGTCGACGTCCAACTCCGTGACGGCTTCAACGCCGCCTATGTTCGTGTTGGCGGCATGCAGTACCTGTTCCTGCTAAACGTGGCGCGGCAACCATTTGGCCGCTCAATCTCCGTGTTCTGCGTACATCCTCGGGCACCCGTCGAGGAGTCGTCGCCAATGCCCGTGGGATTCGAGGTCAGGCTCAAATACTCTCGCAACGACTACGGCCACGGTGACATGTGCCGCGGCCATAGCGTGCACTGATCTCTCCGATGGGCTTCCGAATTCCGAGGGCTCTTTCGAGATCGTTCTGCCCAAGTGCGTTCATCCACTTGACATGGATACTATCACTGCCAATTTCGACGTGCTCAATGTTACCACAAGTGGATGATTATTCATACTATTACCCTTTAACCTGTCTTTTCAAGTTTTAAGTGGAGATGTTGTGTTTGTGTTCCCCGTTGGGCCGGCCCGCTTCATTTTTTTCTTTCTTTAAACCGCGCATTTTTTCCTGTTTAAAACTGCAAACATAAGCACGCAAAGTCACTTGAGCCAGAGACCACCTGTTGTTGGTCGACGGAAGTAACCACCAGGACCACATCTGTTGTGTTCACTTGCTCTGTTCTTCTTCTTTCTTTTCTTTCCTTTTTTTTCTTTTTCGTTTTTCACCTTTTCCTTAAATTTGTGGTCATCTTAGTTGGAATAGCAAACGAAAAAAAGAACGTCGTGAACCAGATTTTCAAAATGAAAAAAGGTCACGAATTTTAAAAAATCATGAATTTAGGGGAAATTCAACAATTTTGAAAAGAAGTTCACGTATTTTCAAAAGAAAACTTCAGGGATTTTGGAAAAAAAAATGTAAAACTATAAAGTGTCAGTGGATTTACAAATGGCCTGGTCAACACGGAGGACGGGGCGCACCGTAGTCAACATTGCCGCTCCTTGGCCCGCTAGCCAGGTGAATCCTTGCCACGTTAGTATTTTTATGCCTCAAACGACTCCAGGGTTCGATTTAGACCGGGATTGCATAGTTTAGGGTGCAATCGACCGGGATTTCGACTTGAGCGTTCAATTCGCTGAACCTCTACGAGTTCTGGTTTTAAAATGGACTTTTTTCGACCCAAACAAAACCGGTCTATTTCTACCTTTCCCTACCGTGGCGGTGGCTAGGGCAAAGCATCATTCCCTTCAGGTGGCACCGGCGAGCACATGGACTCACCTCCCATTTGCCTTCTGCTCCGATGGCCGGCGGCCGGGAGGAGAGCTCTAGTGCCTTGGTTCGGCTAGCAGTTTAGAATAGGGTCCTCGTATGGGCAACCCCGTGGAGGATGAAAACACTTCATCTTCGCGTTCATCTTGCCGGCCCCGATACTCCTCGAGTTTGTCCGTCAGGAAAGAGTCGACGTAGCTCCGGCGTATATTATTCTAGACACTGTTTTAAATAGTGCGCTATAGCAGTCATGCGCTGAGAGACATTGGTCATAACATATGAAGTATCTAAAATTTGCAGCTCTAGGTTCAAAGGAGAAATTACAAGATGCAAAGGAAAGAGAAGTATCTAAAAATCTATCTAATGATAGTGCCGTAGTCCCTTCCAGCTTTTTGATGTATATGATGTACCACCTATTTGCAATCCGAAGCGACTTGTATGTGTAACATCCCAAGATCTTTCGCCAAAGAAAGACCCTCCATGCATGCAATAGCTTCAAGCGTCCCCGAATCCATGAAGCCATGAATGACCAGCATAGAAGAGCCCAAGTAAGCGCCATGATGATCCCGACACACAACAACAGCCGTACCAACATTATAATTGGTGGAAATTGCAGCGACAACGTTGATCTTGGTGGAACCCTCATCCAACGAGATCCATTTGAAATGACACACATTTAGAAAATAACCTTCTAGAGCTAGGCTTCTGTTTATACATCATGGCCCGCCCGAGGTAGCCCACTCCTGAACCGACAAAGAGGGTCCTTGGCCAGGCCCACCTTACCAAGAGACAAGTGGTGAGAGGCCCCCTAGCCGAGGGACCATCATCTTGGCTACCAGATGTCGGCCCAACATGTAGCACAAGGGCCCTGGTACTACTCTACCGATCCCAGTTTACTGTCCAGCTCTTGGGTCTCTAGAAGGAAGGATTTGGCAACTGATGGTCAAGGCAAGAACGCCGGACATCAAGGAGAACTCTCCAACAACCTTAGCCGACTAGGATCCGTGTAACACTAGGGCTCGGTACCATTTATATGCCGAGGCCAGGCTAGCCGCTGAGGCAACCTTTTACATCAATACCTTGATACACCTAATTTCATTATTGTACCCCATACACCCAATCCATCTAATAAATCTAGGTGCAGGGTTTTACCTCCAGAGTGTGGGCCTGAACTTGAATAATTTTGATGTGTTGTTTCCCCTCTAAATCTTTTGGTTACCAGTGACGCCTTATCGATGGATCTGCCAGATTTTACACCAACACTTATTGTGAATGTGATGCTCTTTTTTCTTAGGCGGTAGCGCAAAGGATGCGACGACGGCGGTGGCAACGCGGTGGGTATTGGCGGCATCGCGGCAACCAGACAAAGGTGCACTAACATGGCAACGTTTTACATCAACCCCTCGATACACCGAAGTTCATTGTTGTACCCCATGCATCTAATACAATCTAGGTGTAGGGTTTTACCTCCAAATTGAGGGCCCAAAGCTGAATAGTTTTGGTCTCATGTTTCCCATCTAGATCTTCAGCTACCTGTGACACCCTATCGGGGGGTTTGCCGGATTTTACGCCAACACTTATTGTTCGTGTGATGTTCTTCTTTCTTCGGCAGTAGCGCAATGACGGGTGACAGTGGCGGTGATGGCATGCTGAGCATTGGCGACATCATGGCAGACCGACGAAGGCACACTGATCGTGGCATTTATTGGAACTCTATATTGCGAGAGGCCAGATTTGTCAATTGTGGTAAGTCGGGGTGTTTTATTGGAAGCCCTCAATAAATTTTCGCGACTAGGGGTTTCGTTGGATGCTCTTGGGTCTTACTGATTCATCCCCAAATCAGCCGCCGGCGCCGGCGCCTCAATCTCCCGACCTTCTTATTGGACTTTCTTCTCCACCCGCCGCCCCAAATACATCCTCCCCTCCTCCCCTCCCGCGCGCCGCCACCTCTCGGCACCACTGGGCACCCGCAGCTCGGCCACCCTTCTTCCCCCCTCTTCCTCCATTACTCATCTTCTTCTGTTTGCTCACCTCCTCAATCCTTCAATATATCCACTGCTCGTCTACTCACCTGCAGATCTGGTAAGGAAATCCTCCCCTACTTCTCCATTTCTTGACCGGTTATCTTCTTTCCATTACGCTGCTCACTGACAAGTTGAATCTTTTTTACAGGGGAGTGCCATCCTCAGGAGAGGAGCTCGAGCGCGCAGCAATGGCCGCCTCTGTTCCCCCGCCTGCAAAGAGAAGGAAGGAGGATCCAACGCCCTCTCCGCTCCTTCCGGCCGCAGGATGGTCCGCCCTCCCGCCGGACCTCGTCCGCCGCGTCGCCGACTCCCTACTGGCCACCAAATACCTTGACTGCTACATGGACTACCGCGCCGTCTGCTCCGGCTGGCGCGCGGCCACCGACGACCCCAGGTCAGGGTGGACGACACGAGCGGTCTTTCGGACCGGCTCGTGGCCCGCTCGGTCCGGGCCAGCTCGGTCCTAGCTCGATGGAAAAAACAGCCGGTCCGAGCTGCAGAATCTGGCCCGAAAGTTTGTCGGTCCGGTCCGGGCTTTCACCGAGCCAGCTCGCAGGACCGAGAAACCGAAGCATCGGCGTGGCGGGAGCGTGGTGGGAGCATGGCGGCGGCACGGTGAGCAACGAGTGGGGCGTGGCTGGGGCGTGCGGGCGGCATGGCGGGGGCGTGGCGGGGCTGTGGCGAGTGCGTGGCGACCCAGGCATGGCGGGGGCGCAAGAAACTGTCGCCGTTCATGTCCGCCGCCGCGCGGCCACTCGACTCGCTGGCCCTGGAAACTATGTCCACTGGACGCACCCCACTCGGATCTGTCGTATGCACCAACGAAAACGACATGGGAGGACCTGCATCGCCGCATCGGGCATCATCTTTTTCATCTCCGTCCACCGGCCGTCGTGCCAAATTCGTCGCCGATGAGCTCGCTCTGGTGATCTTCTTGGCTCCTCTAGCTCCCTCTGACTCTTCCAAAGCTGCCTGACATCTCCACATCGAGCTCCGCTGCCTCCAGCGCCCTCCCCGTGTCGCCATGCTCCGGCGCGTGCTCTGTGGTGAACTCCGGCCGGTCCAAACGAGCCGCTCGGTCCGGCTCGGGCTTCGTCCCTGCCGGTCCGGTCCCGGAAAACAGGACCGTGACGCTGCTCGGTCCGGTCCGGTCCGGACCGCCGACGGCCGGTCCAAAGGACAGCTCGGTCAGGGACCGGACCGGCCCGGACCGTGTCCACCCTGAACCCCAGGAGCGACGCCACCGACCCCCGCTTCCGCCCGCGCCGCTGGATCGTCCTCGACGAGGTCTTCCCGAGCCAAGGAAAGATGCTCCTGTTGAATACCGACTCCGGCCGCTTTCTCCACAGAGAACTCCCGCTGCTCAACGACCACCATATCGTGGCAACCACTCGCAATGGCTACCTGGTCCTGGCAGACAAAAGCCCTCCTCACGCGGCCAGCGTCCTCAACCCTCTCACCGGCGTTGTCATCCGTTTCGTGGCGCCGGTGCCCAGCGAGGTGGGATCCGCCGCTGTCGTCTTTTTTGACCATGCTTCGCTCGCCCTCACCTTGTTCTGCGATTCATCTCACAATATTTACACGGCCTGCCGCGACAAAATTGGTTTTTTCGTCCAGGAGGTTCCGGGACCGGAAGCATATTACGATATACTCCGTAAGGCGCTACTGCTGGATGGTGTTTACGCAGACATGTTTGATGAATCGACATTTGAGGGCGTGGTTGATGATTTATGCAGTTTGCTTCATGAGGTTGTCATGTTTTTCTCTGGTGGTCTTCCAGATGTAAACGACCTCAAATGGTTTCCATTACTGGGTTTGGATAGCCATATGTTGCTTGTCGTGAGTACAAAGGGATCAACCTTTGTTTTTAAAAAGGACATCAAGATAGGTAAGCTCGTGGCTTTGGACAACATCAACAACTATGCCATCTTCATTGGACATCAGAGGTGCCTGGCCATTGATGTCGATAAGTTCCCAGGCATTGAGGCAAACTGCGTCTACTACACCAAAATTCTGGGTTTGTCTGCTCACATCTGCAAGTGCAACATCAAGGACAGGAAAGTAGAGAGGATATCTGAAGCTGCAGAGTTTGTGAAGCAGGGCAAACAGTTTGTCCTTGTTGTCGACCGCCCTTTCACGATCATCCACCTTCTCTCCAGCTACACCATCAACATCCCGGAGTCTCAACTCGCCTTGCAACAGATTCCATAAGACGCCAGCAGATCTTCGTCCAACTTTGCATTGGGGAGATTGATCTTGATGATCGACCGGCAAGGCTATTCTTTTGCGAATTAATTGTTCCTGTTTTCTCTCTAGTGTTTATTGTTTTGTTATTTTGGTTATGCCTTGCCATGTTATCCTGGGTTAGATCATTTTTAGTGGAACTACTGTTTGCTGTCTTAATCAGTACTTGGTATCAACCTAATGCTATACATCTATTGTGCTTTATGCTATCTTTTGTCTGTGTGTCCCACTTCTTCTCTTGCATTACTTCTTAGAAATTCAATCTGGTGCTTAATTAGGACATGAAAGTTTTTCCAGAGCTCCTGCAATTGGACCGTTCATCGTATTAGCATGCATCATTATTGTTTGTAAGCTTGTTAATTTTGTAATCTCATGTCCTGGACTAGACGTGGTTTGTCGACCTGCTGTACGATGCCACTCGAGCTTACAACCGGGTATGGAAGTAACTTTTCATTTTATTTTATTTTCTAGTGTTTACATGCATCTATGCTTCAGCCCCTTGAACTAGATGTATTTGTAGTTTGTTCCTTGTATTTCTGGGCATTACTGTAGAAATACATAAAGAACTGAAGATGTTCTCTGCAGCTTATATATCATTGCTGCAAAGAACTTAAGATGTTGCAGCTTATAAATATTTGTGACATGGTCGGCACTTGCTGTCTTTAAAGGGCAATGGTAGATTTTTTGCATGCTCTTCCCTGGCAGGTGTTGCCCATTACATAGTTTTACCTGTTTGGAAACTGCATGTCTTCCTGAGCTGTTTCAACTGGGCATTGTAATGGATGTCCACTGATCAGGAGGTCAAAATGTCCTTATAGGGCTGCAACAGTTAGCACAGAACTGTAACATAGGATATAGTCAACGGCGGAGCTATGTAGAGAGCTGAGGGGGCCGTGGCCCCCCCAGCCCAAATGAATTTTTCTTACTAGGTAATAGTAATGGCCCACATCAGCCATCATCCACACGGACACACAAGCCCATAACGGCATCACGCACGCTGCACGCACACACATCAGTCTCGCGCACATCTCCTCGCCTTCATCCATGAACCAGACGACATGCCGCCGCACTCGGTGGATGCGGCGACGCCCAACACTGCCGACGTCGACTAGAAGCTCGTGCTGATGCGCGCGCGGCGCCTCCGAACATCCTGGTGCGGAGGAGGGAGGAACAAGGGCGCGCCTCAGCCCTCTGACCATTGTCTTCTGTTCTTCGCCGCTGGCCTCGCCGGCTCGCCGCTCCGGTGGTCGTCCATGTCAGTCGGCTGGCTGGCTACCCGTCGTCACCGGACGCCGCTCCCCATACGAATTTGTAAGTGCCCTATGCTACTGCGGACACCTTAAACTGTTGGAATTTGGATCCCGGTGTGCGCTATTGTGTATGTACGAGAACGACAGTGAAATCAGGGAAACGGGGACAGCACTAAAAATTGGAATTTCTTGTTGTTTCTTGTATGAGTTTGATTAGTAATTTAGCAATCTGTATGCCTATCCATCTGATCTAATTGAGGATTTTTTGTTTCTCTGCATCACAAATTTGCTTCTGTTCTGCTGAGTAGTTGCTGCCGCTTGGTGTAATTTTATAGAGTATATATTGCCAATCATTCATGTATTTTGGGACCAATATTGGTAATGTAAGTATAAGTTTGTTTGAAGGCTACAAGTTATGGTTTGTTGTGGTTAGTTAAAAAAAATCTTGGTCACTGGCCCCCCCATAGATTCTTGTCAAGCTCCGCCACTGGATATAGTTGAAGCAAGTAGTGCTGCCTGTAATGGATGAACCACTGGTAGTCTCGTTTTGTTCTCTGAGAAAAGATTGTGCCATTGGATGTTGAGCTCTTGTGAAGCTGTAGCTTACCAGTCAGTAATGCATTGCCCTTATGTTTAGTGTAGCAGCAGTGAGCTTGTGGGCACGGGCCAATCCTCAGTTTGTTCAGTTAGTTGACGATAGTAGCACGTCACTAACTATGGGTTTTGTTTTGTACCTGTGAAGGTGAATCCCTCTTTTGATTCAGAGGATGCATCCGAAACTCTGAATGAGTGTTTCTTCAGGGCAGCTTCTGCCTCCTCTTTTGAGATCATTGAATGTAGTTTAATCTTACAGAGTAAAATCACTTGGTTCTTGTATTATCGTCTCTATGTACTCTGTACGTTCTGCTGCAACTTCATCATACATCTAGTTCCCAAACTGGCACCAACCAGGGTAAATAATGCAGAGAACGACACATAGAATAGTACATAACTGAAACTATTTCCTACAGAGTAGGGGTAGAAAGGGCAGCAATTTTTTTTTCGAGAGTACGCCTAGGCGTACCTTAGCTTTATAGAAGGCAGAATTGAAGTACAAGAATACTGTCGCTCATTGCGAACAATGAACGTAGTATGAACAAACACACTCCGGTAAGACCAAACAACTACCAACAGCTAAACAAAACTACAAAGCAAAAATGTCTGTCCTAACTGAAAACAACACCGCGTCTCGACCAACACCTGGCACCTCCGAAGACCACGATCTCTCACTGAACTTCACTTGTCAACGCACCATCCACTCTGTATTCCTAAGAGGAGATGGCAAGTGAATAGCAGAACTAGTCAGCTCCGAGAAAGACACCGTCTTGGACACACTGTGACGGTCGTACATAGCGCCGCCGAAGATCAAAATAGGACCACGGCAAACACCGGAGGAAAGCAACGAGAAACCAAGCCGTGTCTCCAAACATGATGCTTCCAACAGAGGAGCGACGTCGAGGACGCCGCCATCATGTCGATCCTATCGAATCGAGGCTTTCGCCTGGAGACAACAACAAACTCCAAACGGGCGAGGGAAATGCCGAACACACCTCGACGACGCCTCCAAGAAGGGAAACGACACCCACGGGTGCCATCGCCGCCGGCCCGACAAAAGCCGTGCAAGATTTTCATCCGATCGTCGCACATCTCCGCACCTCGAAGAAATTGGGCAGCCCGTCCAAGTAGCTTCGCACCGCCGCCACCGCAACACCTCGCCGTCGCATCCGCAAAGCCGAGGACCGCCAACAGACCGCACAGGGAAGAGAAGCGCGGTCCAACAAGCACCATCCACCTAGCCGAGGGACAACAACCACCCAACACCTCCGGCAGGAGCCCGAACCGCCGAGAAGGCTATCACCCGCTCCAAGGGACAACCTTGCGACGACCCAGTACCTAGCCACGGACAACTCCCACGCTGGCACTACTGGGAGAGCACCACCGCTCGCCACACAGCCCAGAAGGTAGCCTGACGCTTGCTGCTCGCCAAGAACTCCATCCTAGCCGAGCCATCACAGCGCCGCCACCGGTCTGGTCGGTAGATCACGACACCGCCTCCAGATACGCCACCGCACCAGTCCGCCTCACCGCAACACTTCTTGTCCCCGCCAAGACCACTGTGCACTGTCGACGGCCACCACCACACCGAGCCACCATTGCAGCCGCCTGCACCACCATAGTGCCCAGCAGCCATGGAGGCCCGGCGTCACCGCGCCTGAAGGAAGCAGCGGCCGAACCCGGGCCGGCCAGATCCAGATTGGGACGAGCAGGATCGGGAGGGACCGAGGCTCTCGGCCGTCGCCGCCACGGGCTGCACCACCGGACGGGGAACGCCCCACCACCACGGCCACCGCGTCAAGCCGCCGTCGGAACTTCGCCACCCCACGCCGCCAAGCTCAGCCGACGGAGAGCGCCACACCATGGCCAGGGAGGAGAGGGGCCGCGCCAAGGAGAGTCCCGGCCGCCACCGGCGCTGCCCGGGCTTTGCCCGGCAGCGGCTCTCGGCGGCGGCGAGGGGGAGGAGAGGGACGGGGGGAGGCCGGCGGCGGAGTTCTAGGGTTCCCCCCGTGTCGCCTCTAGGAGCGACGCGGGGGTCGGGGGTGCGAGCGGTAGTCTGGAGAAAACAATTGACAGTACCAAGGGCAGCAATTATAAGGGCATACTACAGGACTGTAATTCTTTTTTGACAAACTAGCAACCCCTATTGCCTAATTACTAGCTCAGGTCAATTGCAATACCACTTTCGACAAGAAACAACATTTACTATGGGCCTGATTGGTTGGAACTTTTCTTGAATGTTGTGTTTGGTTGGAACTTAGGAGCTAACTTTGCCACTCATATTTTGCCGAGCCTCAAAACCACGTCTATTGTTCTATGTCAATCGATCCAAGAATTTCGACGGATGAGATTAAGCGTCGGTAAAGCTCTGAACGTAGTGTTTGCTTTTTTAAATCTCAAAACACAGGAAAAGAAAAGGTAAAATAATACTGAATCGATGGACTAAACGAATCAATCAACCAACACCAACCTATGGAAAAACTGGCCTGGCCTGTTACTAAGAGCAGAGCAGGAACCATTTCATTTTATTTTACTATATATAGTACATCACTCTGTAATTCTTTTTTTTTTTCGAGAGTACGGATCACTGTGTAATTACCACAGTCGATGCAATGGCTGCATTACACTGATGAAACTGGCTTGTTTGTGACCACTCTTGACGCATCAATCAGTTGATCTTGGCCGGTGCGGCGGCTCCGAGGTTCTTGGTGCAGTGATCCACGCAAGCCTCCACGTCAGCTGGCCCTGTCATGCATGGCAACGACGAACCACACAAAACACCCCAATGATCAGAGTTCCATCAAAAACAAAAGAAATCAGATCAATCAATCCTACTTGGATCGGTTGGAGCTTCACCGGTCTCCACCATGGCGTCGTCACAGATGGCCATGACGCAGATGCTGCCACAGCCGGCGGCGGTGGTCGGCGGTGACGGCGGTGGCTGTCCGCTGAAGCAGTCCTGGATGCACCCGAAGTTACAGGGGTAGGGGCCGGGGTACCTCCTGCAGTCAGCGTAGCACTGCTTATAGCAGCGGCAGAACTTAGACATGACAGGAGGAGGACGATGAGCAGGCACCAGGCAGCGACGGACCTGCTCTGCTTCCCCGCCATTCTTCTCCGATCGACGGAGCGCCGCACAGCCTGCACGCTGTACCATAACCAGAAAGATTTTTTTCATAATCAGAGGTCGATTAAGCATGCGAAGAGTATAACAATGCAGCTGAAATGAGATGCCTACAGTTGAAAAAGGAAGAAGCGATGAGAGCTGGGGAGGGGCGAGAGCTGTGTGTTTCATGGATGTCACCCTCGCGTGCATACATAGAGGTAGAGTTTTCTTTTTTTGAGGTTTTTTTTTCTTTTGTTTCTTTTGCTGGTATATAGAGGTATTGTTAGAGAGGAGCCGATCGATGATAGGTGTGTGCGTCTACCATCCGTTTATTTGTGCGGAACCACAAATTCCCGCAGAAGATTAATTATTGTGCAAAACTTAGTAGGTTGTGCATCTCCACAAGTAGGAACACGAGTGCTTGAAATATATAGCTGCACATGTATCCAAGTCGTGTCCATTACGTTTCGACGGTTACAAATATACCATATGCATAGAGATGGAGCTCAGTTTCCGGATTTGAAAACAGAAGAAGAAAAGATTGAAATGCTTTCAAGCCAAACTCTGCGACGAACGACCTGAAATGGCGCAAGAGATTCCTTGTCTGGTGGAAATGTGGATGTGTGTGTACCTCGAATTGCTTTGGTACGACCCAACTTCTACCGACGATGTGAAAAGCCTAGATGATCGAGAGTGCAGAGATTCAAACAGGTGCGGTTCTTTCTCTTTTGTATCATCGGATTTGACACCGTGTGTAATCAAGTCAACTAATACTATGAGTCTTTAATTTGTCTCTATGCTAAGAGCTCCTGCCATGAACCAGTGGTTGGGCATGCGGTTGTGCAGCCTAGCGACCCGAGTTCAATTCCTAAAATTGACAGGTGATGCACAGAGGTTTCCTCCCGTTTATTGAGGATCAAGCTTGATGTGTGGTGAAACTTCTTATCAAGAAATATCTTGATACTCATTTAAAAAATTCTGAGGACCATGTTTATTTTGGTACTCGTACTAAAATGGCCGTATGCATCCTTGGTTGGTGCAGAGGCCGGGAAGTGAAAATCTCTCCCATTTTTAAGAACCCAGTCACCAGCTCCTCCCCCTCGCCGCCGCCGGAGGCCAGCGCCAGGCAAAGCCTGTGCGGTGGCTGCGGCGGCGGGGCCTTTCTCTTTTCTGGCAACAAGAAGGCTGTTGGCGGCTCCTTGTGCAGATTGGATCGGCGAGTGGCAGAGCCCCGGCGGCGGCCGTCGGATCTGTGGATGGCAGCGCGTGCAGCGGCTGGAGCGGAGCCTTGGCGGTGGCCGTTGGATTTGCAGACGACAGTGGTTGCGGCGTGCTCTAGTTCGGTCAAAAGACCCGGTGACAACAGCCATAGCATACGGATCCAACCTGGGCGGTTTGCATGTCCAGGACGTGTGCTCAGATGTTGGAGCCAAGCCGTGCTGTTTGCATGTCCAAATCGTGCTTGGATGGTGGATCCAAGCCGTGTTGTTTGCATGTCCAAATCGTGCTCAGATGGATGCAATCGGCTATTGCGTCTGCCGGCGACTCGCACAAGGACGCTCTCAGCCGCCGAGACGAGCACCAGAACACGCCAGCCTCTCTCGCTTGGATCCAGCCTGACCGTGCCGGCATCAGCTGATGTGACCATCGTAGGTTCTTTGCAGGCCGGTGACAGTGATATATGCCGTTCGTGCTTCAGTTCAGGCCATGTTATCGGTCCCCTAGCTTGATGCGCATGCCCCTGACCTCCTCCCCAAGATGGCGTCGTGGTCTGCGGCGGCTGGTGTCGGATGGAGTCGCGAACTGGCAATGGCCATGGTGGCGGCGGTCTGTTTCCCCATGAGCTGCACCTGACGTCTTCCAAGAACCAACCTAACTGCGGCCAGTCGCAAATATGCCTCATGCATGGCGGCCCTCGTCTCTGGCAGCGCCCACCTCCCTCGATCTGTGGTGGTGGCTCCGGCGTGGCGGTCGTTGAGGCATCAGTGGTCTTGGCATTGCTCCGGCCACGCGGTCTCTGGATTGTTGGGGCTGCGGTGATGAGCTGGATGGTGGAGGTGATTTTGATCCAATTGGCCGGATGGTGACGTATGTAGATTGTTTTGCAACGACTTCATACGGATCCACGACATCATCAAAAAGACTTCGGGAGGTTTTATCTCCTGATCCGGTGGATGACTACAGTGGTGGGTTACAAATTATGGACAATGACTTGACGCAGAGGGTTGTTTGTGGAGTAGCGGCGATCCAATTGTAGCTGCTCGGATAGCGGAAAAGTGGTGGAGACAACACATGTGAGATTTGGATGGTGGTGCCATGTGCACCCGGTCTCGAGCTCCGGGGCGAAAGTCTAGGACAGACCCGAGTGGTTATTCCTGGCAATGGTGATGTTTTTCACATCGTTACCTTGTTGGAGGCATTGCTCGGATATGTTCGGACTGATTCTTCAGGGTGAAAACTTTGATACTGGCCTTTGTGGTTGGATCCGGTGACGGGGTCGCTTGAGTGTCGCTTCCTTCCTGAAGGCGTTGCTGTTGAAGATCCTTGTCATCCATGTGGTGTCAATGGTTGATGCGGATATGGTCTCAGTTGTAGTTTGTCGATCATTCACCTGATCGCTTTGGGGCTTATTTCTTGTTTCTTTTTGTTTTTTCCACACCTGCAAACAACTTTTGGTCTTATGACTTCGCTAGTTGCTGGTGTGTTTCTGTGTGTGTGTGTGTTGGGTTGGTTGTGTGCATCTTAGTTATGCAGAGGCCGGGTGTGTGTTCAGTGTGATGTATCATCTTGATGCTCCATTTGAGCCAATAAAATTTACCTTTTATCGAAAAAATGAACCATGTACAAAGTCTAACGTTGTTCTGGTGGTATGTTCTTCTTTTTCTTTCTTCTTTTATTTCTTTTTGATAGTAAACATCAGGTTGACATGGATGTGAGACATGCACTCCACATGATTGTGGTAATACTTACTATATGAGTTAGTAGGATTGGGATTTGTTAAGAGCATCCCGAAACCCATCCCAACCCGATGTAAGATCAAGTCTAGCCATGGCCTTGTCCCCTCCCGACGCGGTGCAAGCACTATTCTGTAGTAAACAATGGCCACCATCATCATCCGCCGTGTCGCCGACTCCATCCTCAACACTTACGACATCGACTGCTATATGGACTACCGCGCCATCTGCTTCGGCTGGCGCGCCGCCACCGATGACCCCAGGAACGCTGTCTCCAATCCCCGCTTCCACCCGCGCCATTGGATCGTCCTGGACGAGATCTTCTTGAGTAAAGGAGAAGAGATACTCTTGCTAAACACTGACACTGGCCGCTTCCTTCACAAGAAGTTCCCGCCGCTCACGGATCACTCCATCGTGGCTACCACTCGCAGCGGCTACTTCGTCCTGGCGGAGAAAAGCACTCCTCACACGGCCCGTGTCCTCAACCCTCTCACAGGAGTCGTAATCCGTTTCGTGGCGTCTGTGCCCCCTGAGGTGGGATCTGCTGATGTCGTCTTCTTTGACAGCTCTTTGCTCAGGCTCTCCTTATTCTGCGACTCATCTCACGAGGTTTACTGGGCCGGCCGCGACAGTCATAGGTTCTTCATCCACGAGCCGAAGCAAGCAACTTACCATTTCTTGCGGAGGACGACCTTAGGTGATGTCTTAGCAGATGATACAAAAGACCTCCTGAAGGCGACTGCTATTTCATACAGTTTTTCGATGGCAGTCAAGATCATGTTTTTTCCAGTGGGTTTGGCTAGACATATGTTCGTCATTATTGTAGAGGGATTAATCTCTGTTTTAAAAAAGATATAGTCAAGCTTGTGGCTTTGGATAGCAATCAGCAACCATGGCATCTTCATTGGTCATCAGAGGAGCCTGGCCGTTGATGCCGATAGGTTCCCATGCATCGAGGCAAACTATATGTCTACTATACCAACATTCTGGGTTCATCGGCTCATATTTGCAAGTGCAACATGAAAGATAGGAAAGTAGAGAGGATCTCTGAAGCTGCAGAGTTTCTGAAGCACGACAAGCAGTTTGTCCTGGTCACCGACCGTCCTTCGACGATCATCCACCTTCTCTCCAGCTACACTATCAACATCCCAGATTCTCAACTAACCTTGCATCAGATTCCATAAGGCGACAGTAGTTATTCATTCAACTCTAGGGATCTTGATGGAACGACAAGGCTATGCTTTTGCTAAGTACTGCTCCTAATTACTATCTGGGCTTTTGCTTCATTATTTTGAATATGCCTTGCCATGTACTCCCTCCGTTCGGAATTACTTGTCTCGGAAATGGATGTATCTAGAACTACAATACATCTAGATACATCCATTTTCGCGACAAGTAATTCCGAACGGAGGGAGTAACGGATAAGAAATAGGTTGATCCTAGGTTAGATCACCTTTAGTGGAACTACTGTTTGCCGTCTTAATTAGTACTTGGAGTCAACCTAGTGCTTCACCTATTGTGCTTTATGCTATTGTTTTTCCGTGTGTCGCTCATCTTGTCCTGCATTACTTCTTAGAAATGCAATCTGGTGCTTAATTAGGACATAAAAGGTTTTGCCAACTTCTGAATGGAGCTCCTGCAATTGGATTGTTCATCATATTAGCATGCATTGTTTTTTTTTGTGGTATAAACTTCCAATCTATTCATCTTCAATCCTGGTAGTACAACGAACACTAGAAATAATAAAAATTACATCCAGATCCGTAGACCAACTAGCGGTGGCTATATGCACTGAAGTGAGCCGAAGGCGCGCCGCTGTAATCGCCCCTCCCTCGCCGAAGCCGGGCAAACCTTGTTGTAGTAGACAGTCGGGAAGTCGTCGTGCTAAGACTCCATAGAACCAACGCACCAGAACAACAACCGCCGCCGATGAAGAGTGTAGATAAGAAATATCCAACCTGAAGACATGCGAACAAAGTCGAACGACGAACATATCCGAACAGATCCACCAAAGACGGATCCACCGGAGAAACACCTCCACATGCCCACTGACGATGCTATTCGCATCATCCGGAACGGGGGCTAGATGGGGAGACCTTTATTCCACCTTTAGGGAGCTGCCGCCGTCTCGCCTTCCTGAGTAGGACACAAACCCTAACAAACCTTGAAAAAAGATCTAAAAACGGAGCCCTCCCACCGGCAAGGGCCGGGATCCACTCCGCCCCCATGGCCCTAAGGCAACGGGAGACGGGGCAGACCGGCGGCGGCGACGGCGGGAGGCAGAGGAACCCTAGCTTTTTGTGTAGTAGATCTCTATGATTTTTCTCTCCTTTTCTTCTTCTTTAGCATGCATTGTTATTGTTTGTAAGCTTGTTAATTTTGTAATCTCATGTCCTGGACAAGACATGGTTTGTCAAGCTGCTGTACGATGCCGCTTGAGCTTACAACATGCTATGGAAGTAACGTTTCATTTTAGTTTTTCTAGTTTTTCCATACAGATAGGAGGAGAGAAGATGGTCTGGGATAGAAAGAGATAATGGAAAGAGAGAAATATATAAAGGGGCGTGGTAAGCATAAAATGGGCCAAGGTCCGTAGTCATGGGCTTGGTATTGTTATTTTAGAAGTATTTATTTTGTTGAGCAGTAGAATAAGTTCATACTCATTATTATTTTATCAACGACTGATGTAGTTTTTTTTTAGGAAAACAGACTTTAATGCTAAGATTACTACTAGAGCATATCTAAATGACTAATTTAGGTTTCATTTTTTTGAGCAAATCTTGTATACCCTAATGCACCTGATTTGGGGAGATTGTATAGTAGTTATGCCAACAATATCCTGATATCTAGCTTCGTCGGAGAGCAAAAGTGCTCCGCCTTTGTTTCCGCCTCGAGACGGCGGCGGCTGGTTCCGAAAGTCTTCTTTCAGTTTTTTTTCTAGGGTAAATGGCTTTTATATAGGAGAAGGGCATCAGCAATGGGCCTCTATGGGCCCCACATGCTTGGGTGGTGCAGCCTAGGGGGGTGGCTGCGCCCCCAGGGTTTGTCGGACCACCGAGACTCTTCTCTGGTACTTCTTTCTTCCAGTATTTTTTATATATTACAAAAATAAATCCCCTTAAAATTTCACGTCATTTTGAGCTCCGCGGAATTGCTATATCTGTTGTAGCTTTTTCATGTAAGAATTCCAACTACATGCAGGAGCTGGCTGACAGATAATGGTGGATCACAAACTTACGCCTCTCCTGCACTCCTAAGAAGTCGCATCGTTGAGTGGCGTTGATATGCCTGTCTTGCCGGCGTGACATGACGTCGTACCTTGGCTGTAAAAAATTGTGCGTACATGACGAAGGAGACATCATTCTCGTGGGAGACGGCTGGAGCGGTTGCACAACACATCCGGCGCCGTCCGTGAAGTCGCGCGGCCCCATACAATATGCATACATGGTCGGTGTTGGAAGTTATTTTTTGCACGGCCCCATGCTCACTGGAGTTAATGGCAGGTCAGTTTGGTAGAAGAATACGAGGGAATGGTGAAAAGAGAAAAACAAGGGTATTTATGTCTCAAATTTAACATAATGGCATAAAGAGGAGGATGAAAAAATTGCAATGGCATTTTTCCAATGTGCAGAATTGTAATGGCATTTTGCCAAATCATAAAAGTTGTAGTGGCATAGATCCAATTAACCCCTTCTAATCTTGTACCTACAAGACCCAATATCTGATCCTCCTTGTGAAAAAACAAGAGGTACTGATTTATAAAACTGAAAATTAGCACACAATCTCACAATAAAGAAAAGAATCGGAGCAGATTAAGTGACCAGATCTACAGAGGAACACCACCACAGAAGATGAGAGCAAACGGAGGAGGATATGGGAAGAGTGGAGAATGAGCAAAAGGGGAGAAGCCGAGAAGTTGGGTTTGGGTGGAGGGAGGCCGCGCCCGGTGAGGTTCCGGCGCCCTTAGCTATCCCTGTTCTTCTTCCACCGGCCAAAAGTGTGAAGCAAGATCCGAGTTTTCCCCAAGCCTCGCCGGTGATTCCGGCCATGGCGGCGAAAGACTGGTCCACCCTCCCGCCCGACCTCGTCCGCCTCGTCGCTGACTCCCTCTTGGCCACCAACGACATCGACTGCTACATGTGTTTACGCGCCATCTGCCCCGGCTGGCGCGCCGCCACCGATGACCCCAGGTGCGACGCCTCTGACCCCCGTTTCCGCCCGCGCTGCTGGATCGTCCTTGACGAGGTCTTCCAGAGCCAAGGGAAAGAGATGCTCCTGGTAAACACCCACACCGGCCGCTTCCTCCATAGACAACTCCCGCTGCTCAGCGACCACTACGTCATGACAACCACTCGCAATGGCTACTTAGTCCTAGCAGACAAAAGCCCTCCTCACTCTGCAAGCGTCCTCAACCCTCTCACCGGCGTTGTCATCCGTTTCATGGTGTCTGTGCTCCAAGAGGCGGGATCCTTTGCTGTCCTCTCCCTTCCCAGCTCTGCGCTCGGGCTCACCTTGTTCAGTGACTCATCTCACAAGATTTACTTGGCCCTTCCCGACAGCAAGAGTTTTGTCGTCCGGGAGGTTCAACAAGCACCTTATGGTTTCTTCCGTAAGGCGGTCGTAGGTTGTGTGTACGCAGACATTGTAGGGCATACCGTGATTGCTGATTTATGCCGTTCGCTGATGTCTCTTGATGTTGCTGATCTTGCCAAGCTCTTCGCTAGCGGTCTTCGAGATGCAACAGACCTCATGTGTTTTCCAGTGTGTTTGGCTGGACATATGTTGCTCGTCTTATATGAAAAGGGGTCGGTCTTTGTTCTAAAAAAGGATGTCAAGATAGGTAAGCTCGTGGCTTTGGACAACATCGGTAGGTATGCCATCTTCATTGGTCCTCAGAGGTGCGTGGCTGTCGATGCCGACAAGTTCCCAGGCATCGAGGCAAACTGCGCCTACTTCACTGAACAACTGGGTTCGTCTGTTCATATCTGCAAGTGCAACATCAAGGACAGGAAAGTTGAGAGGATCTCTGAAGCTGCCGATTTCGTGAAGCAGGACAAGAAGTTTGTCCTCACCGCTGACCGTCCTTCGACGATCATCCACCTTCTCTCCGGCTACACCGTCAACATCCCGGATTCTCAACTGGCTTTGCAACAGGTTCCATAAGTCGCCGGCAGATCTTCGTTCAACTTTGGGGAGATTGATCACAGGTCATGGCCATGCTTTAGTCTTTTGCTTTGTTATTTTCAATATGCTTTGCCATGTAACGGGTAAGAAACAGGTTGATCCTAGATTAGATCACCTTTACTGGAACTACTGTATGCTGTCTTGGTACTTGGTATGAACCTAATGCTACATCTATTGTGCTTTATGCTATCTCTTGTTTTTATTTGCGGATGAATCTCTTGTTTTTGTTACCTACCTCTTCTCTTGCATTACTTAGAAATGCAATCTGGTGCTTAATTAGGATAAGGAAGTTTTTGCCAACTTCTGAATTTTGGTCCTGCAATTGGACCGGCATGCATAATTGTTCTCTGCAAGCTTTGTTAATTTTGCAATGTCATGTGTTGGACAAGACACGGTTTGTCGAGCTGCTGTATGATGTGGCTTGGGCTTACAACTGGGTACGGAAGTAACATTTCATCTATTTTTCTAATGCTCTCATGCGTCCATGCTTCAGCCCCTTGAAGTAGTTGCGTTTGTAGTTTGTTGCTTGTATTTGTGGGCATTACTGTAGAAATAAAATTTGTAGAGGATGTGCTTTGCAGCCCATCATTGCTGCAAAGAACTTAAGATGTTCCCAGCTTATGAATATTAAAGATTATTTTTCTTTTAGTGTAGATTGAAATCCTGGTAAGTTCGAGCTAAAAGATGGAAACTTCAAGTCTGCATTGTCCATTGAGATCATCAATTCATTCAATTAGGATATCAATTGTTTTTCTTAAAAAAAAATGAGTTTCCTCAGTCACTACACCATTAGTGGTATAACACTAAACTAGTCGCTTAGTTTGGTACCTGTGAAACCCTTTTTTGTTTCAGAGAATACATTTGAGATTTCACACTCTGAATGAATGCTTCTGCCTCTGTTATTTTAGTGGTCCAAGATAATCACTGATCTTATTATCTCTCTGTGATCATAGAATGCGAATCAACTACAACCTCATACACCTAGTTCCAAAATAATGCA